GAGCGGTTCTGAACCTACTGGTGTTGTGGCCGGCGGAACTGGGGGAAATGGGGGGTGGAAGGGGACAAAAAGTGGGTAGAAGCCATCGCAGGAACCGAGGGCGTTTACAGGGAGGGCCTGGGGAAGAGTGGATGGAAGGAAAGGACTGTAGTGGCCCCATTTGGACGTTGGGGTGCAGCCCATGTAGATTCAGGGTGCCGTTCCCCTCTTGATTCATCTTCCCGATTTCACCCCCAACTGCCGGGTGGCCCAGGGTGAGTCTCAGCTCCCTCTGGGCAGGTATTCCAGGATTCTGTACCGGAAAACCATACCACTCTCCTAAGACTGGGTGGGCTGGAGCCTGGGGGTCCAAGGAAGCAAGGAAGCAGGCTCCGGGGCCTCCGGGGGGCCGGAACTGGGTTTCAGAGGGGAGGGAGTGCGTGTACACACACCCATGTGTGCAAGGTTGTCACCACCTCCTCGGAGTTGCATCCTTGGACTTAAATGGGTAAAACGACATACAGGAAATCTGTCCTCGGGCAGCTGTGAGCTCAGCCCCAGAGTCAGCCCATGTGCCCTGCCTTCTCTCCTGGTGCCCTGTAGGTCAGGGGTCTCTAAGGGAAAGCCTCTCCCGCACTTTTTCTGAGGTGGGAGCTGGTGGGGATATTGTGCCTTACGGTCAAAGGGTCTTAGCTCCTACCTTGCTGAGGTATGCTCTGGTCTCCAGACTTAAGGCATCCAGGAGCAGTGGGAGATGACACAGGAAGCTAAAGAGTTGTTTCAGCATTTCATGGGCCTAGCTTTGGTGAGGGCCTTGCACTGGGCTGTTTTGATCAGCATTAATTTCTCTTCTTTACCTACTGTGGGGATCCGTGTCTGGGATCTGCCAGAAGGCCAGGGAGCCTGGATTTATAGCTTATGCAGGAGGCGAATGTAAAAGAGGGACACAGAGAGAGAACCACCCCCTTTACTTCCAGAATGTTTTGGCCGTTACTGAAAGTGGTGCCAGGACAATGAGAGCCCACAGTCATGCCTTCTGCAGACATTTAGTTTGGGCTTCCCCTCGCCAGCACAGCCCCCAATAAACAGGACCAGAATCTTCTGATTGCATGGCCCTGGCTGTTTTCTCCCTCTTGCACCAGGAGCGTGGCCAGGTAGGCTCTCATGTAGAGTCCTGTGTTGGAGATTCTGACCTCTGTCAAGTCTCTTTGTCTGTTTCTTCACATGGAAAATCAATGGATTGTCCTCAGTCAGCATTTCTCAATTTCAAAACCCTTCTTGATAATCTTGGCATCTCCAGTACACAGCCCCCTCGGATTTTACGCGGCCCCCAACTGTTGAACCTCTCCCTGCTGCAGTGATCCCAGTTTGGTTCAGCTTTGCTTTCTACAGTTTATATCCAAAAACGATATTTTTTTTATTGCTCTTTTGTGTTCCAAATGGAAAATTCCAATACTAAATGTACTTTGCACATTACACCTGTTCCCAAAGCTCCGGCTGCATCTTGTGGTTGGAAATGCCTGGGTGAGACCCTCCCTCAGGTCCATGCCTGTGACTTGGCGAAGCAAGTGGGGGCATAGGAACCTCCCCTTTCTGTTCAGCTGGAGGACCGATTTTCTGTCCCCAGTGGGAGCTTGTTAACTTGCCATTTCCCTCTCCTTGTTTCCTTGAAGTCCTTTGTCTTGGGTGGGCCCGGTCTTCCATAAAGCAAGGGCTGATCTTGCTGGGGGCTGTTGAGCCTTGTGCCCTGGAGGAGGGACATTCTAGTGCCCCCCTCTACAGGATTAATGGAATGAGGGATGACCAGTGACAGCTTCAGGGTTTGGGGGTTCTTGTAAGTTTCCTCAGAAGTGGCTGGGTCCAAGCCAAGCCTTGAAGGATACAGAGGCATCAAACCAAGCTGAGAAGAGGAATTTGCACCAGTAGATCCCTGCATGGCTCTGCCCTTTATTGAGTACTTTCTATGATAGATGCTTTTATACCCAACTCTTGTATTCTGCCAACGAGCAACAAGGAGGTCCTGGTTTCTAGTTTCCCAATATGGAAAACTGAGGCTCAGGGTGGTGATAACTTCAGATGGCTCCCTGGGTGTTCTAGAAACTCAGGAGATCATTAGTAACCTCAAATGGATGACAGACCAAACCTCCAGAGCAGTTACTCAATGGCATTACCATTGACATTGGAACCGAGTTGTTCTTTGCTGGGGGGTTGGGAGATCCTGTGTATTATAGTACGTTAAGCAGCATCCCTGGCCTCTACCCACCAGATGCCAGTAGTACCCCCCCCCAAAATAATGACAACCAAAAATGTCTCCAGATTTAGCTTTTTGTCCCTTGGAGGCAGAAGCATCCCCAGCAAGAACCTCTTCTCTGTAGTAAAATCAGGCTCCTGTCCCAGGCCCACCATTGCCTTAGTGGGTCTTTGGTGTAAGCTGAGCTCCTCATGAGCGCTACCAAGATCAGGCATAGAGAAAAGAGGCCGGCAACTGAATTCTGTCTGGTCAGTTCTTCATCTGGAGTCCTGATAAAAAGGAGGCACCACTGGGAATGGACCGAGGGGGAGTTGGACAACATGCCCCGAGAATGGACAGCAGAGGAGGAACAGGAGATAAACGGGGCTGTCTGCACTTGCCCAGACAGCGATGCCATTGTCTTTCTCTTTTTTGTTTTCCCACTGACCTGGATTTCTGCAGGAATCGTCCTTGCCTTGGCACACATTGTTGCTTTTCTTCTAAGATTAGAGGTATTCAATTCTCTTCTCAAGAGCTACTTTGGAGGTGGCTCTGGATCAGCATGGCTCTTGAAGCCACATTATCTTCTCCCGTTCACCCTCTTGGCTCCAGATGCCAGTCCATCCTCCAGATAAAAAAAAAATTTAGATTGTCTAACTTTTGTGCCTTGTGCATGCTTCTCTGCTTATTCCATGACTGTGACATTGCTGCTTTAACTCCATGGGAGGAAACGCACATTCTGGGGCCTTCCAACCCCTTTGTAGGCGCTGTCCCTTCTCCCGGGCTCCCCACCCACTGTCTCTTTGTGCATCCCCAAGTCCCTAGCCAACTGTGCCAGGCAGCCCCTGCTCGGCCTCCCTTCAGAGCAAGACAGGCCCATCTCTCTGCCCTCATCCTGGATGGAGAGAGCTGCAGAACAAAGGCTCTGTCTGAACACTGCCGGCTTCCCATAAAGCCAGCCGGCTGCCGGCTGCAGCGCTGAGCCCCGTCACTTCACCTCTCTAGTTTTCATTTTGGCCCAGAAGGGGCCTCAGAGATTAGACATGTCTCAGAAACGCAGCGATGAGTTTGGGTTCTACTCATTTCCTCATCGAGAGTTTCTGAGCCCGATGATAAATAAAGTAGTGATTCAAGCATTCGGCCTGTGGGTTTGTCGGAGCGATGAATAAGCTGGCCCAGTCTGACTCATTCGTTTATATCCCAGTTCTGCCCTGCTTCATGGGACTGTGTGTGTGAGAGAGAACCCAGCCACAGGCATTTCAGTGCTGTCACTGCTGAGTATGTGAGTTTCCCGGAGCTGCTGTAACAAAGTACCCCAGACCAGGCAGTTTAGGCAGTAGAAATTGATTGTCTCAGATCTGGAGGCCAGAAGTCCAAGATCAGGATGTTAGCAGTGTTGCCTTCTTCTGAGGCCTCTCTCCTTGACTTGTAGGTGGCCACCTTCTTCCTATGTCCCCACATCATCTGTCTGGGTCCAGAGTTCCTTTTATAAAGACACTAGTCATGTTGGACCAGAGCCCACCCTAATAACCTCTTTTTAATTTAATCACCTCTTTAAAGGCCCTGTCTCCCAATACAGTCACATTCTGAGGTCTTGGTGGTTATGACTTCAATATAATGAATTGGAGGTGATGGGGACACACAATTCAGCCGATAACACTGGGTAAAGGGCAAATTTTATTTTTATTTAGTAAAGAGATTTTGGACAAATAGTCATGCTAATAGTGAGTGTTTTGTCTTACTCATTTAAATAAACATTTTACAGGAGGTAGGCAGGTTAGCCACATCAACATTGGAAGCTCCCTGTTAGGGAATTTTCCAAATTTGCATATGTCCTTATACTCAG